CAATGCAATTCATAAATAACATTAACCTTTAGAGTGAAAACACCGAGTCAATTAGTTGACTAAACATGTCTATAGAGCGGAGATTAGTTATAGTGTTGTGTAGTCGTAAAATGTTGTATTTGATGTTAACACGTGACATACAACTATAAACATCGCCGTGGGTGGTTATTACAATGAAGTGTGAATTGATGTATTTATTACTTTACTACTATTGGGCAGAATATATTTCGCAATATTTTCGTACCCTGTATTTTAACGTATGATGAATATTACGTGAATCGTTTGATAAGTCACGATGTGCCACGCAACCTCGAACACTCTGGTTTATGATTGAATACGAATGCTCACATCGATCATAATGCTGCCTACAACCCATATTAGCCTACATATTTAATAATTAAAATATAAAAAGAATAATAAAATCAAAATTGCGAGATAACTACCAAAAACAGAATTTAAAAATAAGAAACTGATTTTTATATGTAAAATCCACTAATAACTTCAATTTATGGCCAAACTTAAGACTTGCAAGCACCTCCAATAACTAAACATTAGAACGAAGACACAAAATTAAAAGGAATCGATGGGAATGGCCGTCGCCAGAATACTAGACGCTAGACCCAGACATGTCTGCGATAATAAAGATTGGTTTAGATCTTCGGAGACCTACTAGCACAAATAAACAACTTATTTCATAAAGACTATCCAAAAATAAAGCCTTTTGGCAAACAAGACATTCTGTCATGGCTGACGAGTTGGATATTTGCCAGCCGAAGCCTCCCCGGGTACTTTACCAAGTTGGCTAACAGAAAATCACATATACATAAAGATAGTATATATTGAATTTTCATCCAACTTGGGATCACCTACAATTTATGAAAGCGATTAAATGTATTTTGGCTGCACAGTAAGCGGGGTGGCCGGTTCTGTTCCGCAGAGTACAACTCTTTGTGTGATAATTCCGACTTTGTAAGTCCACGACACAAGAGCATATCCTGGTGTGGGGCAACACACTGTGGGGGGTTAAAAAAGTACGTAATCTTAAATGCAAAATAATGATAACTGTACTTAAATGTAATTATACTCTAGATCACTCTGGGTACAACCATGAAGATCGCCTTGCTATCTGCATAATAGTTGTTGCTGCCATGAAAACATTAAAACACTGAAGCCCGCCGCGTCCCAGGGACATGAATAACCATTTTGAATCTAGCCACGGATGCAAAGGCACTAGTTTATCTCAAATTGAGAGTAAAATTAAAATGAAATTATAATTTGGTAGCATATGTAATTAGATAATACGGTAGTTAGACTAATGCCCTAGAATAACAAGGGTTAACAGATTCTAGAAGATTAAGTTGGAAGTCTAGTTACTATAAAATGTACATATCTACCTACATAACCTCTAAAGGATAACCTTATAAAGATTACCTACGTAGTAAGTTGTCGTCCCGACCCTTGTCATTCTTTTTTTTTCTTATCAAAATTACCTCTCCGCCTTTCCCTGTCTCATAAATTAAGAAGCCTATATAGTAACAATTTTTACCTCCCCTGTAGCATGAAATAAGAAACAACAAGATAAAAAATATGCACGCACTTGCATATGGTCTGAAAGCACAGTGGAACAAACTAATAATGATGCTGAAAATTGACCTTATGATTATGTCTTTAAGGTTGGTATGTTTTATGTACTTTTATCATCACAAACAAACTAAAACTCAAAAGAAAAACTTGGTACTTTTTTAAAGCAAATACTATCTTTTTGGCCTGTACATTTATTTGTAGTTTACATATCATAAACTAAAGGTACCTTTTAAATTTAATAAATACTCAAGTGCATATCTAAACTATATAATCAGGCGTTACTTTGCGGAAATCCATGACATAAAATGTTATGAAAAATATCTAGTTTTAATTCGACGACAAAGATTTTTTGTGGAATTAAAACAAGATATTTTTCATAACACTTAAAGTGCATATCTACCAACTCCATATTTTACTGGTTACATCAAACCCCAAAATGCAGTAAAATTACAACTTCGAGAAGTCTTCAAAAACTGTTAGCCGCTGCTGTTAATATTATATGAAAGTGTTTAGTAATGAAACTAATCAATAATAGATAGCACGCCCGCAACATCGTAAGACGTTGGATCAATATTGGTTTACCTTGGTATTCATGTAAGTTGCACGACGGGGCGTACCCACGAACAAGTCGCAAGGGATCGGAAGCTTTTTTACGCAAATGCGTTGCTTGTTCAGCCTATACGTTTTAACTGAAGACCCTTTTAAAGAAGTAGGCAGTTCATTATTTGCATAAAATGTTATTATTACACGCTTAATCTTTTACTAATATTAGTATATTATATAGTATATTATAAATGCGAAAGTAACTCTGTCTGCCTTTTCTTCGCGCCTAAACTACTGAACCGATTTCTGTTAAATTTGGTACAGACATAGTTTGGAACTTGAGAAAAATCTGCAGGAAGTCACTTTTCTACGCGTACGGAGTCGCGGCCAAAAGCTAGTAATACGATAGCAGTATATATTAATCGAATTATATATTATTACAGAAATCACTTAAACAAATAATTATGAAGAATTCGCAACTTCAAAAGAATATGAAGTATAATCCGTACAAATGATATTCTTCAGAATTTAATATCGTTTTCTGTCTTTCCGAATGGGCTTCCTTTTTAGGTCGACCTCGGCGGCTCGGCAGACGAGATTCTGCATTATCGCAACCGGAGTAGCTTCCATTAGCACTAAATGCGCGTCGTACGGGAACCACATAATTACAGATCCATTATGCTAAGCAAATATGTACTATGTGTGTACTTATTTAATAACCATAATTGGTTAAAAGATGTTAATACAAAAGATTATTTCGCTTTTTCGATTTTAAAGTATCTTAAATAATTATACCTAAGTATTCTTAATTGACTTCAATACTAAATCGTGTTACTAACTTGTAACTCTCCAAAATTCCAGAAGTGATTTGAGGATATTGAAGACTAGACGCAAATTTATTCTAATTAATAATTTATTCGAGTGAAAGCGAATAATCGGGTTTTTATTTAACAATAAAAGTTACCGTTTTTACGTATCTAACATTTGTCAAATGCGTGAAGTAAGGCGACAAAATATTAAATTATCTACCCATGATTTAAATTTGTTGTACAGATAAGTGGACCTCACTTATCTGTACAACAAATTTAAATCAAATAAAACTTGACATCATAGTATTTTTGCGTCAAATAGATTACTTAATAATTAGCTAAAAAATACCTAAAACTTGGTATATCGATCGATTGATGAATAAAAGTATAGTTATTTTTTAATATTTTGTTGTATTGAAACGTCAAACTAATTTATTTTTAACCTAGGAAACTACCTAATTCGACATGCTTGGCGTAACTTTGAATATTTTTTATTTCATATTAACTGCCTAACATTTTATTGTCTGTTCTGCCAAAAGCGTTTAATGATACGGCCACATATGCAGTTTATATGTAGTTCATTTATCTCCCCGCCATTTCTCCTACTCCCTGGAGTGGCATGACAGCAATAATAGGTATGTACAATAACTCAATTATCGTTTCTCAATCATGATTATAATAAAAATTTATAATTTTTATTATTAATTGGATATGTCATACGTGGTTATTATGTAGAAAAGAGCAAAATTAGAAGTACCCTAATCACCGTTGTATCACCATACATTAAAAACACTTCGGCCAGATGTGAGTGCTAATAATAGCTGAAAGTTTAAATTGGATAAGTACTAGCTATTTCCCGTGTCTTGTCTTCAGATACAAAAGTAGAAAACTTTAAACCTATCTACGGCGCTAAAAAACAGTACCTATGTAGTTAATATAAGGATAAACTTATTTCCATTCTATATGTATACCACCAGCGTGAACATTTAAAAAGCCTTTTCGTGACGTAACATTGGTAAAGGTTCCAAGGAGGAGCATATGATCAATTACCCAAGTGTACCAACTGAATGTAGCTAAGACCTATGTGACAATGAAAAGGCTAATCAACGTGTCATAAAATCTAAAAACGTTAAACACGTTATTTTATATAATTTGATTGAAATTAATTATTTAATAACCTTTCTCATAAGAGTCAAACTAAGTACTTACTACTAGGTATATTTACACATGCAATGATGTGGTTATTCTTAAAATACATGCATAAGATCTTTATGTCAATCATTATTAACGACAAAACGTTAAATAAATAGAAAACCGCGAATTAAAACTGCTGCCTATTTAAATTATTGATAATTTAAACATCATATTAATCATTGACAGTCTTCTAAGCTTTCATAAAAGGTGAATGAATGAATTAAACAAAATGGGATCTCTGCTTTGGCAAAATTAATATACACGTACAGAATAAATCTTACTCGAAGTGCACACGTATATACAAAAACTGCGAGATAATAAGTTGTCATAAAGATTACCATATCTAAAACTATGATAGCAATCAATGCCAAATTGATTAGCAGCTAAATAACTTCGGAAAAGTTTATGGTCACAGAATTAACAATATTCGCTCAAGTCAAGCCGTAGGCAAACGATCGGTTCGAAGCAAACGCGTCTTGTTGTCTCAAAATATCTTAAGAAAACGCCTAGAAAAAAAAAACATTTGTCCCATCTACCTATTGGCAACCGAATGCCGAATGTCAAAGTTGCGAAAATGGGTCACCGAATGGAATAGATGCTATGCAATGTACTGTACAACAATCGATGCAATTTCACCTATATATTCCACATTTACGCCGCCAGAATCTGCCAACGGCAATTTGTAGATTATTTTTGTTTTAGTACCATTCGTAATCCGGGATCACATTCTTATCTTTGAAATTGTTCAATAATAAACATTCACCATCGTTCAAATAGTTTTGTAACATTACACATACATTACCAAATAACGGTTTCCATTCATTATATACCACTGGAAGTATTGACGATGAATGAAAGTGAACTGTTTACCTGCCGTGGTGACCTTGAGGTGTAAAAGACTATGAAGAGGATAGTATCCACTATCGATCCTGGAGCCACGTGCTGGCCAAGTCTTTGATCACCAGCTCTGATGAGGCCAGGATTACGTGAGAAAGTCACAATTTCACAACAAAGGGTTAACACACGAATAGTAAGCCGTACTGGAGAGCGACTTAGAACGATTTCAAGCGATAAATATATGGAAGGTGGTGGTAGGCTTTGCGCGCGATTGATGTTCTCGGTGCGGCAGGTCGCGAGCTGATAGGGTCGCGTGGCGATGAGCGTGCGGGAGCGCTCGGGCGTCGGGCGCGGACTGGCCGAGCGAGCGTCGAGCCGAGTTTCGGCCGACTCGGCGACGCGCGCTGCCGCTATTTGCGCCCACTGCGCCCGCTTGCCGCCCGCCCCGCCCGCCCAGAGCTTTCTCTGCGCAGCGCAACAACAAACATTTCTTTATTCCACCTGTAACTGTTTTCGATTGCTTGCATTATAATCCAATTGCAATATATCTGCTCATATATCTGCGATACTGACAACCACTTCATAAAGCTAATCGATTAACTTCCTAACATTCCTTCCATCCACTCATTTATTTCCATTTAGATAGTAATCAAATTTACTGTATGAGACTATGTCAATGTAGGTACCTAATACAGTGAAACTAGTTTTCTAAATTCAGGGAAAAGTACATACTAGTCCAGAGGAAATTATAATAAACAATTATAATTACCTTAAAATCAAAAGAGTAAGGACCAACAAAAAAGTGCTTCAGGATTCTATATCGTCTAGTAATTGAGTTTTACATTACTGTAACAACAACAACGTGCTATGTAATGTTCTTCTGTTTCAAAATACAATACCGCCTTAGAGCGTGTACATAGTTACCTAACTTTAATGCATGTTGTATCAATTATTTTGGCCCGCCACGCCAATAGTGACCCAACTCTAACGCCGTAGTTACCCAGCTGCACCTCATATACACTACATACAGTGTTACGCCATTATTGACCCAGCTACGAAGTGCCACGCCAATAGTAACCCAGCTACGGAGTGCTGAACTAACCCTGCTACAGCGTAGCGGTCTACACAGTGGCAAACTGTAAGCATTCATTTTTTTATGATAGAGCATACGGTATGCATATGGTACGGTTTTATGATAGAGCAACCGTTAAACGGTTGGTACGCAATCGGCGCCTCCCGATGGTAGCCGCTACACCAAAGAGTTACGAGTACGTTGCCGGCCTTTTGGGAGTAAGGGTTAGGATATTTAAGGACAGGAAAAGCATGGAAAGACGGCCGGGGTATGGGCCTCCGGTAACCTCCGGCGAAACTCCGGCGAAACACAATGCTGTAGTTGTATCACGCCGATTTTCTGTGAGGTCGTGGTATCAATCCGGTCTAGCCAACCCATTCGTGCCGAAGCATGGCTCTCCCACACTTAAATCATTCATTCATTTTCATCTTACAAAATCATTCACAAAATATGGCAACAAACAAGTAGACTATGGCCTGATTGTATTTAAGAAACCTGCCATGAACACTCTTTCCAACAAAAAACTTATAAATGAAATGCTAATGCTGGATTTTCGACCATACTCGTGTCAAAACACAACGCAAGCATTGTTGCTGACACAGTAACATTTTTCTGCGAAGCCGTTATATTTATTTTTGTTAGCGGATAATCATCAAATGGCTTCTCCCGCCCAGGGTGAGCCGGCGAAGTGTCAAACTCTTCCTAACTAAAAAGTCCCTTGTTCCTTCTCCTGCCGAGGCCACGGTGCCTCATTTCGCTTACCCCGCAACCCAGGCTAAACATCATCCTATAGGGCCCCATCTGTGGTGGTCTACCTATTGGTTTTCTGTGGCGCACTTGGAACACTACGCGCCGTACGCTCGGGTCTGGTTTTGGTAGGGCGACGAGCTACCCTTATTCGCCGCACAACCGCACTTAGGGTGGCCGGAGATCGTCTCTCGATCCCCGACGTCTGGAATGTCGCCTACTGCGGCGGCTGGAGAGTGAGGAGGAAGATTGCTCCCTCACGCGGGCCGCCTCCCTCTGCTTCACAGAAGGAGGAGACGGCGTCCCAGTTCCTCTCACTCCGCACCATGGCCTCGACTAAGGCCGGAAGGGAGAGGTCGCCGCCGCCGATCACTACCCTGAGGACACGGCGGTGCTCAGCCCAAGCAGGGCACACCGCCTCCGTTTACTTCACTGTGTCCTCCGGGTAGTCCTCACAATGATGACACTCGGGCTTTTCCTCCCGCCGGATCCGAAACAGGAACCTACCGAAGCAGCTATCTCCGTTAAGCACCTACGTAGTATTATTTATGTCTTTACATTTACAAACAAAAATGAATAATGAATTCATTAACAAAAAAAATGGTGACATTTCATTGGTAACAAAACTGGTAATATCCTCGTACAAATTTCACAAATATCCACCATTAAAGAGCTCTAACTCCAAAGTGGGATATAAGCTATTTGGAAGCCTAAACACCTAGCAAACTCTGTTCTCTCTAGTTCTCAAAATTGACAAAATGTTGTCTTTATTGAATGTATCTACTAATGTCACTCACAGACAACAAATTTACATAAAGTTTTTCGCATTTTCCATTCGCAAAATCGTAAAATTGCAACCCTTTAGGTGCTGCAGCGGTTTGCTGACAAAACAAATGACTGACCACGAGATAGAACGATTTTTATACTACATACCAGCCAAGAGTGTATCGGGCTACGCTCAGTTTAGGGTTCCGTAACTTCCCAACTGTCACAATAACCATCTTCACTTGTGAGTTAGTAATAGAGATATAAGAGTACCTAAATCTTAAAACCGCAATTCAGCGTAATAAGTACAGGTAGGTACAGCGCCATCTCTTAGGGAATTAGGTTACTAATTATTACAAACTAATTTATTTCATCAACTCATTTGGATTCCAAAAACTGTTTTTGTTAAATCTTTTTTTATTTGCAACGAGACACATTCAGAAACTCAAAATATAAAAAATGCTTGCATATACGGTTAAATTACGTTCCAATAATTTATTGTACAATATTTCAAAAACAGTTCAATCTAGAGTTCAAAGTATTTTTCCTAGAAATAATGTATACCTAAAGTTCTACTTTCAAGATTTTACCCATATCTTCTAACCTTATCGTTCAAAAGTTGCAGGGACTTTTTAATTCTTGTGGAGCGATTATTTCCGAAAATGTTAACATCATCAAAAAATACCTTGAATTAATTACAATTATTGAAATGAAAAAAAAATATCACTACCTACTTTACGTGAAGGGTGTACCCTAATAAAATATTTTTTCCACTTTTATTTTACCACTTTGTCGGCGTTATATTTATACACACATTTATACATATTGGTGCCAAATTTCGGCTTTCTAGTGCTAACTGTCACTGAGATTATCCGCGGACGGACAAACAGACAGACAAACATGGCAAAACCATAACGGTTCCTACTTAGTTTACTACGATTTAAAAGTGTTGGTAGTGGTAACATTGAATTAAATAGTTTTTCTACTAAAAATGAAATATTAATATTATAAAATATAAATAAACAAAAAAAATTAAACCATGACCCGAACCGCACCAAGAACTCTTGCCTTTTTTATACCTATTGGCACAGGCAGGTGAATGAAATAATAAAATGGCCAGCAAAGAACCCGGACATGAATCCAATTGAACATCTCTGGGATCAACTAAATATGCAAATCCGTAGGAGAGATCCTGCTCTAGACTCACTTGACCAGCTGGAAAGTGCCATTCAGGAACAATGGGACAACATCCCACAGCATGTCATCGTAACTCACATCAAATCGATAAAAAACCGGATGACAAGGGCTTGAGAAGGGGACACTAGTTATTAAACATTATTTAAAAAAAGTTTTTTTTTCACCCACATACGTTATGTTGTTTCATTAATTGCCTTCGTTATCCATTCGAAATAAAAATGATTCATTAAAGAAAAAACGAAACCTCTGAAAATTTAATTTGAATTTAGAACAATAGCAATCAATCAGCTATCTATGATTAGTACTTAAAATACGTCTTGGCCTGACTGAAGCTATAGCTGTGCTAGCTATTTTCAATAGGTAGTTAGTTAGAATAGTTAGTGTTTACAATTATGACCTGATTATTTGCAATATAATTTAATTGTATAACTTCTCTCTTCACAGGCCAATTTAATCTCGGCCCCAGTCGGCAGCAGGAGAAAGACCAGCGTAGTTTTTACTCGGTATAACTCGCGAGCTTCTGAAAAAGCCATCTAAAAAAAAAAACCGCCAGTTCTCCTTTTAAATTTCAGCCCTTTGTCATAAATCAATCAAATCAATCAATAAGGATGAGCTCCTCCCACGTGATCTCATGGCAGAGTGGAAACAACGACTGTCTCGAGCTCAGGTCTGCTACGTTAAACCCCTCGTTGAGGAGTGACTAGACAGAAGTTACGGTGTCGTCACTTTCCACCTGACCTGGCGAGGGGAAGTGAGACTCTTAGTGACTAAAACCTCCCTGATCTTTCTCCTGCTCCATCATACTGGAGGAAAAGCCCAGGTATCGTCACTTGAGGACCACCCGCAGATCACGGTGGAGCATAAGGTGGCGATGTACCCTGCTTGAGCTGAACCAAAGAGGATATAACGTCGTGGTTATATCGTCATTGGGCAGAACACTGCCGAGTCTTCTAGGAAATGATCGGCGACGGCGATCTCGTGCGCCCAGCCATAGTAGAGACCTTGGTGCAAAGTAACGTACAGAAGTTGGTACAAAGGAACTGGGAAGCGGTTTCCTTCTTCTACAAAGCGGTCATGCTCGCTAAGAAGAAGACGTATCACGTGGGATAAATATGCGCGGCGCAAGGGGTACCTAAATAATTTGATTAATTTACCATTTAAAAAAAATACGAATGAATACCTAAACTTTTATATGATATTTACAGTTACAGTATAATATAGAAAATTACGAATGATACAGCAGATATTTATTGTTATTTTAGTAAAGAAATATTTGCGGATCGCATTGTCCCCTTTTATCTATCTCTAAGGACTAAAATCAACTTACGTGTCGTGGCGTGTCGCACATACATGGTGTCCCTTAAAGTGACAATAAATCAAAACGACAGAAACATAGAAGAAGTTATTTCCTAACTTAACCGTTCATAATTAGGTTCAAAGACCAATGGAGTCATCGTAGAGGCCTGGACATTAATGCATTATAGTGGTTCCGATTACGTGCTTGCAAGTGTACAGGATGTGTAACCCAGTAACTAGATGATAAATTTTCGTCTACTACTCTTTATATGTCTGTGGGTTACAACGTGTTTTAACAACAAAGTTTAGTGGATGAATAAGTATATTTCCGCCTTAGGTAACAGACGCAGTCGTATATAATTCGACTCTTTTATATTCGCATAAATAATAATAACACACGCAACGAGGACTTAACCCATTGTACTGTTGCCTTACTTATTCCCATAGAGATTAGTTAGAGAGAAGGAGAACGATCGCGATACATGCTAAAGCTTCAGCCCGTCTTTACCTGATTTTTTTTAAAATTAATTGTTCATGTTTTTGCCTCCAACCGCACTGCCATCGTCTATAATTAGTACCTGTACCTATACTATACTTTGATAGATCATTTCAAATTAGCGCACAATAGCTTGTTTTTAATGGGACAACTAAGCAATCGCAACGCCTCACTTATTTTGTCCTTATTTCTCGGAAACTATTTACAAGGTACCTACAGCGATCGTCCTCCTTGTCTCCATGCGTTTTCCCGTCATAGACAATATTATACTTTTTTTTAATCTTACATTTCACAATGATCGCAATTGCTAATGTCTGTCATGTCAAATTCATAAGTTCGCTCGTTAGAACTTATTTTTTGTTGTACTGTAGTTATTATTTAAGTATGTAAAGTTGTGTGTCCATTATTATGAATAATTAAAAATATTGTTTTAAATTGTAATAAAATTGCGTCAAAATGGCTAAATGGAAATTAACTCGTCAACAATTTGGAGCCGAAGAATTCACCCTTTCTGAGGGCGATACGGTAACTGTCGGCAGAGGAAATAACAATAATATTACACTTTCAAGCGCTGTTATATCCAGGAATCACTGTGTTATACATGTACACAATAATAGAGCACTATTAACAGATCTACAGGTACCAGTCACATTTTGTTTTTATACTATAAATGTTATTTTTCTAAGTTTTATTTATGTCCAAAAAATTCCTTGATTTGAGTTTGTTACTTATATGATTATTCCTAAGAATTAAAATGACAATTCATGTATAAAGAAGTATCTCACAAGGACTTCCAATTTGTATTGATTTTTAAACATGATTACACATTACTTGATAAAAAAACTTCACCTATTAATTTCTTTCATAGTAAAGTGCAAGTCCCAAAAAGTAAACTGCCATAGCAATGCTCTTGAGATTATGTCCTTCAGAATGTCATTTTCCTCGTGGTCAAACTACTTTAATGCTAAACAATTTGTTTAAAGCTGTATTATCATATCCTGTAGAATATATAATTTAACAGCTCACAATTACTGTAAGTTCCAGTATAATATTTGTGATGTTTGGTTACTTTTTATTTTAATCTGCAATGTGTAAACCGCAAAGGATGCATGCAATAAGTTAACTCTTTCACTATAATATTCTTATTGTTATTATGTTCAACTTTAGATAATCTCATCTGCACCCTTAGTATCAGCCTTTTAAAAGAATTTTATTTGTATTCCAGAGTTCAAATGGAGTGTATGTTGGTAGTATCAAGATACCTCCTAATACTCCATATGTCATTCAAGATTCAGATGTTATTGGGTTAGGATGGACTATGGCGGCACCCCTCGTCAATATAAAAGACACTGAAAAATATGTGTTTAAATTCATCAAACAAAAACCTGGACATTCTATTACAAGCAAAATTAAATTTCAAGCTGAAAATGATGATGATATTGAATCACAAGTTGCTATGTTAGATGCCATTGTAAAGGAAGAAAAGCCATTTGTTATTAAAGAAAGCAGCAAATCACCAGTGCTAAGTAGCAAAATACCACAAAAGAGAAAAATAGAGAATGATAAAGTTGCTGTCAAACAAGAGCCCAAGAATAATAACATTAATGATATCAATGACATTCCTAACATAGTTCTGTCTGATAGTGATAATGAAATTGTTCGACCACTTGACGAGGGTGCAAAAAAACCAAAGCTTGAACCTGTACTTGAGGAACAACAAAAACAAACAACCAAAGATGCTGATACTAATATGAAGAATGAAAATGATTTAGTAGAATTTGCTTTCAATGTCAAACAAGAATACATTGGGTATGATGAACCTATTGAGATTGATGACAGTGACAGTGATAGTGAGTCTGAGCATTGGCTAATGCGACTGTCCCAAAGTTCACCTGGAAAACCATTTTTGAAATCACCAAAAACAAGTAAAACTGAGAAAACACAGGAAGATTCATATAGCCAGCTAGATGATTTTCTTAGTGATGACTATGAAAATGATGATGTTATGGATGATCTAATATCTCTTCCTAAAATACCTCCTAATCAAGAATTAGAAGAAACACCTGATAAAGTTACAAGTAGTAAAGTTCAAAAAAAACCTGCACAAGAATCAAGTGATGATGCTGATTCTGAGGAATTATTTGAAGATATATTGTCAATACAGACTTCATCTAAAAATACAAATGAAGATGAAATTGATGGCTGTCATATTGAGGAATTATTCAAAGAAGTAGACAGTATCCTAAAATCTCCTTTACAGGGTGATTCATTAAAAAAGGCTCAATTAATAGAACCAATTGCTGTATCATCAAAGAATAAATCAAGTCGTCCAGTAGTTGAAGGTAAGTTAATTAATACTTATTTTTAGTAGGTATGTCTTATTTATGTCTCTGCATATGCAGATGTCAATTAGTTTGCTCATTGTACAAAGTATAAAATAAGATAAATCCATGATTTTTATGTTCTAGTTAAACCTAAAAAGTCTTCATCTAAGCGTTCTCAACAAAAATCATCTTCAAAACCATACATGTCAAACAGTCAAAAGGAAGAGCGCAAAAAGAAACTTAAAGAAATAGCTTGTAAGAATAAGGAAACGGAAATAAGAAAAAGTAAAGACACTGTAGGTGATAGCAAACCAGTACTTACAAATGTGAAGGTCAGTACTACTAACCGTGGAGCATTTTTAACTGATGTTTCTAAAGCAGTCGTTGCTCCAGTTAATAGGAAAGAACATAATAGTAGTAAGGAAAAAAGTATAAATATATCACCAAAATCCAAAGATGCTAAGAATCATGATGTCACTGAAGATGTTGAAAACAAAAGAAGAGAGCCAGAAAAGTCAGAAAAACAAAAAGACAAAAGTAAAAGTTCTAAGCACAAAGATCGCAGCAAAACAGAGCATAAATCCGACAAAGCCTTAAGTAAGCTATCTGAGAAAGAGACAAGGGTACCACTCAAAAGTTTAAAACCATTAACCGATAGTGAAGATTCTATTTCTGGAAAACCAATATCCAAAGTTGGTCCAATGAAACCTGAAAAATCGAAGAAGAAGGTACGGTTTTCAGAGAATGCGCCTCAGGTTCTAGAATTCGAAATTGAGCCTGGCAACAAGATGAAGAAAACTAGTTTGGTTAAAACAACTCTGGTAGATGTGCGTCAGTCACCTGTATTTTCATTAGAAAAGATAACTCTGATGAAAATTCTTCGCTGGAACCCTCAGTGGTTAGAAGAGCAGCTGAATAACAATGATCCTCCACCAATCTTAGGTCACAATAAAATACCCATGTCAGTTTTCCACTCATTTGTGAACCACAATCAGTATGTACAGTAAGTAACTTTTCATTTTTATTACTTTTTAAATAATTGTTCATACATCAAAGTAATGTAATTAAAAAATACTAGCACATTTTCTGTTATGATCTCAAAAACATCTTTTTACATATACCCATAGTATCTTATGTCAATTTGGGTCTACCAAATACATTCATATAAACCTCCTTTGCCCACTAGGAGCCAGAAACTACAGACCCACATATTTTAAAATATATTTTAATAAATAGTTCAATTGGTTCTAATTGGTATGTAATATTGTTTAAATTGTAACTGTTTTTTCAGGCTGGTTGGTGATTTACTTCTGATGGAAATTTGGGAATGTTTAACTATAGCATATATGAAAATACGTAATCAAAATGTGGGATTAGAAATGAGAGTCGAGTCATTGCCGCCCATACCTCCACAAGAGCGATGCCTCGAACTTTTCAATCTTAGTGTTAACAGTAAGTTATATTGAAATGTATTTTTATCATGATCACCATCAGCCTATAAGTGCCCACTGCTGAGCAAAGGCCTCTTCTCACACAGATTGGCGATTTCAAACTTATAATTAGAAATTATAAATCCAGGTTACCAAACAATGTTTACCTTCACCATAATAATATGTCAGTGGTGTCTAAATAATCATAGAAAGTACATATAACTCGGAAAAAGTCACATTGGTACTTGCCAGGTTTCGAAACCGCATTGCCTCGGTGCATGAGAGGCGGGCGCCTTAACCTCCGGGTCACCACGACATTGTATTTTATGTAAGGATAAATAAGCGAGCTTCATTCTAGAAGCCTTGTGAGGCCTGTTTAAGTAGTGTTCAGACACATATGTCTATAATTATGTTTTGGGGCAAGTACAAAGACAATAACCAGCAAAACTATTCTTAGCCGTTAGGTGGCCTCTCTTGTACCACTACACCCTCTTGTATACATATTACTGCGTATTACGCGGTAGGGCATTGGAAACTAGCGTTCGTCCTTCCTAATAAAGTTATGCCTGAATTTAAATGGAATGCATATTCTATTTTAAATGCATATAACCGCCTATAATTTATTAAAATACATTTGTAATTTATTTTTATGAGTCCAAAATGTTTTTACAGATTCAATGCCACACATATTTTCCTATCTTGCTACTCTAAATTAGGGTTTGACTCACTGATACCTCATTTATTTATGATATTTAAAATAAAATTTATTTTACAGTTTCCGTTCCCGCAGCCGAAGCTAAATTGAAAGTGCCTAGAGTAGGAGAAGTACTTCTAGTTACATTTGGGCCAGAAAACGCGAAAAATCAAAGGTTCTTCTATGTACACAATGTGAGAAACCTACCGTCACCTTCAAGTGAGTTCCTCCAAAGTATATTTGCTAATGAAAAAAGAGGCCTTGTTTTACCGCCAGGGTTTAAATCGGGTTAAGTCGCTGTTTGGATGAACGGGTGGATTTTTGGCGCATTTCATGCATGTCCAGCGGTGATGACACATATCATTGATTATAAAATTACACTGTTTACACTACAAATGTGTATGTCACCTAAACTATACTGTTGGAATAAATTTAAATTGTTTATTGTTTTACTATACAATGGCTTAGTTGGTGGCTACATTGCATCCTAACATGGTGTATACAAATGTCTGTTTTTCGTCAGTGGACTCATGATTCATAATCATTGTTGACAATTCTAATATTACTTTCATACTTTATGGTGCCATTTTATTAGATTACATTTGAAATACTTTTTCAGGTAACCGACGCGCATTCTTCAGTGTTTCACTACACGCAACATTTGCAGACAAATTAAAATCACTAAAACCAGGGGAACTGATGATAGGAAAGAGTTTAGCTTTCATAAACAAAGAGTTACAGTTGTTCGAAGCTATGGAACATTTAGCGGGATCCCCCCTTAGTGATGCCATACTTAGGCCGGAGCCGCATCATTTTACAAAAACTCAAGAGGTCCCGCCACTTATAAATACTCAGGTTTGTATTTACATGAAACCGGCTTTTTAGTATTACTAGCTTATACTTTCGAACTGAACAAATTCGTAATGATCTCTCTCCTAGTACCTACAGGTTTGTTTATACAGGTAACTTGTACCTTACCTCTAAAAACCATTAGCGTGATGTTAGCGTAGATTAGAACCATCTACTTAGTATGTTAATTAATATTTACCTGAATTTATGTATTAGTAATTTGACAGTTGAAATCAGCGGACCTTACAAGACATTAGAAAATACCTATTAATCCTTAAGTATGTATATAGAAAATCAGACACAAATTGTAAAAGTCATATTTGCGTCGTTCGTACAGGTAAAATTTAAACGGAATCGCTCAATAGCGCAGCAATACAGAAAGTACAGCAATATGTACTTTCTGTATTGCTAAACACTTAATCTAGAATAACTGAACTAATTTCACTGATCATTTTTGTTTTTATGAGAAGATTCTTATGAAAAAAAGGTTCTTATTTAAGGATAGGATTACACTAAGGCCAAGTAGGACAGAGTGAGATATGTATAATATTTTCTTTATGGGAAACCAGGTTTCGTTATAAGAAAAATAATTCTGTTATGGAAACCGGTTTCCAAACCTTGGTTTCCAATCTGGCCGAAGGGAACTATAAAGTACAATTTTAACAAACATATAAGCCTAGATAAGGTTTTTATTAATTTAGCTTTTATTGTATATTATCTCATTGAAACTTTACAAATACTTAGTACAATATTACTTGTCTATATGACAGTGGACAACGACTCTGAACCCGAGTCAGCTGGCGGCGGTGAGTTCTTCAGTGGCGGCGGCGCTCAGCGACAGACCTTCTATACAAATGGTACAGGGACCTCCGGGCACCGGTGAGTCGCAACTTACAATCAAAGGAATCACTTCTTTATAATATTTGGAAATTTACATGAACCAGAAATTGGTAACTGGCTGCCGCGAAACGTGTCGCGGGTTTCTACAAATTAAAACCCGGAACAACTTCCGGGTCTGGGTGTGATGTGTATGTAAAATTGTATGTATGTCAATGCACCCACAACACAAGAGGAAATTGGGCAATACACTTGAAAAAAAAAACTACTGTAAAATAAAAATGTTATTTTACTCAAGTTACCGCTAACTAATGTTTTATTTCATCAGGCAAATCAAGTGTTATTTGCGCGATTGTGATGACATACTTCTATAACGCACAAGGCAAGAAGCAACAGAACAGGGGCAAACTGTTGATATGTGCCACAAGCAACGCCGCGGTCGATGGACTAGTCGTTAGATTACTGAACCTAAGACAAAGTTTACCTAAACGTAAGTATTATCTCTATATAGTATTAATTCTCTTAGGGCTGATTTTTTAATGGTTAGATTTAAGTTAGACAGGAAGACAAACAGACAAATATTGTAAAAAAAATAACACATTTTTGAGTCAGTAAATTCATATAAGCACATAGCACAAATCGGTTGTTTTAAATTAGATTAGATACACTTAACTTGTTGCTCTCATTAGATGACGATGCGATAATAAAGCGTAAGTCAATTTGCCTCAATCGCTCAGAAAAAATTGCACCAGTTCAGCAGTAGCTTTTATTTGGGATACCATAGATAATATCAAATATTGTTGGCAGCGGAACGATTTCGGATGGTACGTGTAGGACGCGAGGAGGCCATGCATCCCGAGGCCGCCAATATATGTTCCCAACAGCTCGCCAAGCGCGACGTGGCCAGGATACACTCCGAACAACCAATTGCACCTAGCGGACTTAATGAAGAGGTAAATACTTGGACACAGACGGATACTTCCCCCATTACATTTAATTTTTCTAAATAAAGAATAACATAATATACTAACAAGTTTTTTCTCGACATCGCTGCATGGAAAATGACACAACACAAACTATTACAGAGCAATTTTGTGAATACAGTGAAAATTAAAGAGCAGCAGAATTAAAGCTAGATATTTTTCCTGCAGTATAAAGTTTGTATGGATGTTTTTATTTTTTGTGGTATGGGTCGGCCAACGAGCAGACGCCAAATAAGTAACGAGTGCGTTGCCGGCCTTTTAGGGTTAAGGGTTCGAATATTTAAGGATTGGGAAGAGATGGGGGGAGAGGAAGGTATTGCTATTGGGCCTCCGGTAACCTAACTCACACGGGAAAATGTGTTAGTTTCACGCCGGTTTTTAGTGAGGCCGTGGTGTCACTCCGGTAGAGCTGACCCATTCGCGCCAAAATTTGGCTCCCCCAGACTTCAATTTAATAAAATATCCACAAAGTAACACCTAATTATATATATTCTGCAGATTCTTCACGTTGAAGCAAAAATCAATATGTGGAAGACTCAAGAAAAAGACGCGAAGGATCCGTCTCGAGTGGCGTACTGTCAGGGACGGGTCGCTGATCTAGAGAAAAGGATGGCTTTGGTAAGCAATCTATGTGATTTGTTTTGAGTAGATCTATGGTCTGTAAATGCCGTGTAATATTCACCCATCCATCCATGTATTCCATCAAGTTCAAATTGAAAGAGACTTTTAGTAATCTGAAATCACAATCGTCTGTGATTATGAAGAGGTAAAACTTGTAAGTTTGCATGTAGGAGACAATCTTTGGAACCGCTGGTTGGATTTCTAAAATTCTCTTCGCTGTATTATAGCTGCAGTGTTTCTGAGCGCTATATATACAGGCTATAAATTATACTTTATTTCCGTATTTTAGTCAAGATAACGCTTTAAACGCTGCTATTTTTAAAATCCCTGGATACGTCACTTTTATACGCGCGTGAAGCCGCAGGCGGATGCTAGTAAAACAAAGAGTGATAGTGCCTTCATACATACTTTGCATAACACATAAGTTATTGGCCACAGTTGCGATCGGGAGGCGGGCGCAGTGGCGCTGCAGATACGCTCAGTGCAGAGCAGTTTGCGCGAGTGGAGCGACGCATCATAGATGGCGCTGATATCATCGTCACTACGCTCGGCAGTGCGCAGAGCTTCAAAATGCGAGGGTTAGTGTTGCCAGTACTAATATTTTTAACATTTTTTATCTTTTACACAAGACATACTAAGAGCCATTTAGCTTTTGTTCAGGTTTTATAACTATAATTTTGTAATATAACGTTTGTTGTAGGCTGAAGCGTCGAATAGCACTGTGTATAATTGACGAGGCCGGACAAGTGATCGAACCCGAGACATTAATACCTCTCACCCTTGACGTGACGCGACTGACACTCATCGGAGACCCACAGCAACTGCCTGGATTCATCTGTTCGCAGGTACGTTTTGTTCACAAGCAATTGAAAAGACAGGGAATTGCATCCTATAAATTGTGACAATTATACATCGAGAAAATATCCAGGGTAGAGAGCATATTATATACGTTTTTGTTAGAAATCAAAGTCACCAGACAACCGCAGGGCGGAGTTTAACTTCGCCCGCTATGATTGGGCGATGAATTGACAACCAAATGACAGCAGAAGTAATTCAAGAAATATCGATATCAATAACACCAACTTCAACACCAGAAAACTATAAAAACAAAGCTATAAACAATAGATAAGTTCGTAACCGCCACCATCAAATTTATCTGGCTTTCTCCTCCTCTGACCATAACAAAATTAATTTTTGTCTATTTAATATACATCTACGTAGGTATATAACGATTTCCGTGACCATTTCTTTTATTTAGATTAATAAAACGAACAAAAACATAAAGCACGTTATGGACCTGTATTTTAAATAATATCGATATTAGATCCTGTGAACGGCACTAACGAGAAAAAGAGACAGCTGCATATGCCATTGAGTGTGCGAGAAAGGGACAGTAGCGCATTTACCAAAGATGTATTTAAATGATTTTATATGAAATGTTATCCAAACTTTTGTGTCCTTTTACACAATTGGGCATTATTTTCTTGATTAATTTTATTTGCACAAGAATCGGGAGCGCCTGTCGTGCGATCGTAAACTTGCGATTGCCGCGTATGACCCCAAAAAGTCTCGTAGTGTATACTTGTCTAGGCATATATTTGGTAAGCGCAAAAGCAATGTACGCCCGCTCCACTGGATTCTTTCTCGATGCATAATAGCATCCCTCCTCCCCCTTAAGAGGGAAACCCTAGTTTAAGTGATGGTAATGATTTTATTCAATTTAAATATGGAAAACATACTTCAGCTTAGAAAAGGCCCATTCGACGTGTGATACCACGACCTCATAAAGAACCGGCGTGAAACAACCTCAGCGTTGTGTCGCCTCATTTAACTGAGGTTACCAAAGGGTAGCAATGCACTCGTAACTCTGGTGTAGCAAGTGTCCGTGGGCGGCGTCCATTGCTAATCATTAGTTCTGAACGATTGCCATAACAAAAAATATTGAAATACCTAGTATCCATAATCATATAATTACCTTACAGAGAGCCAAGCAACATGGTCTTAACGAGAGTCTTTTCTCACGCCTGAGTTCGTGCTCGGAACATTGGGCCGGTGGCAGTCCCGTAGTTCTCCTCAACCAGCAATACCGCATGCACCCCGACATAGCCGACTATCCCAGCCGAGCGTTCTATAACGGCAGAGTCATGAATGTACCGCCTCTCAGACCGAACTTACCTGTACCGCCTTATAACATCGTCGGGATATCCAGTGGAGATAAAGCACAAGGTAAATCGTACTGACATTATGATTTTACTTTTTATGTGTAAACTGTTTGAGATTTTTCGATTAATTTTATATTACGAAATGGATCATAAGCAGTAGCAGGACGATGTTTATGACGCACCCAACACAAGATCTTGAGCTCCGGTGTAGCTAGAAAGTAATCGAACATACTCAAAGAGTACAATTGAGTAAGTCGCTTTACAACTAAAATTCCTTGTATGTGTGAATAGGAGTGAACGGTGCTAACGAGATGGAGGCGTGGGGAGTAACTCGCCTAGTACTGGCACTGTCGCTAGCGCTCCGCCCCGCTGCATTACGCATTGCCGTCATCACGCCATACAACGGACACAAGGATCTTATTAAGAGACATCTCAAGACCTTAAATATGTATGTATCTGATATTATTATCGTCTAATTTCTCTAGAGTAAGTGGCAGTCGACCAACGTCAAACTATAAAAACGAAAATTTTAAAAACCATTGGACAGGTGTAATTGTTATTTTTTTATGAAATCAAAAACTTAAAAAGGTCATTACAGCATTGAACTATTCCCAGTTTGTAACGTGGTGGGGATAAGTTCGCGTATTTTATTTTTTACTCATTTTAATATCAACACAAATTCGTTTTATTGTTTCTATGTTCACTTATTATCAGGTTGACAATGACGTAGGTAGATAAAATCAAAATGACGTCAATAACCATAATATAATAAGACAAAGTCAATCCGCATTTTACCCCCACTACGATCAAATCGGACCATCCTTTGTGAAAGAGTTATACATTAATTTGATATCTTATGACGAACCACCTCTCTAGTCTCTACGCTACCCGAGCGTACGGCGCGTAACGTTCCGCGCTCGCCTCAAAGAGCCAATAGACCACCACAGACGGGGCCCTATAGGGCTGATGTTCAGCCGGGGTTGCGGGTTAAGGGCAATAAGGCACCGCGGCCTCGGCCCAGAGCAGGAGAAGCAAGTTTTTAGTCTGTAAGAGTCTGATTCTCCCTCCCGCCCGACCCTGGGCCCGAGTAGTCATTTGATGATTTTCCGTTCCCAAAAAATTTCTCTGCGCTACTAAGTAGAGAAAGGCCTGTACACCAGGCAATACCTTGTAGCTGATATGATCGTTTAATTGTATTATGTACTAGTTTCCGCCCATGACTGCGTAAAAAGCCTATGTATTAATCCAACTTATCTACATACTAAATTTTAACCAAATGATCCATACATCCATACATTCTCACAAATTTTAACATTTATAATATTAGTAGGAAGGTAGGATTATATTTATTTTTGATTCCACAGCGGGGAAAACCAAGTGGAGGTGAACACAGTAGACAGCTTTCAAGGTCAGGAGCGTGACGTGGTGGTGGTGTCGCTGGCTCGCAGCCAGGGCGTCGGCTTCCTCACGGACGCGGGCCGCATGAACGTCATGCTCACTCGCGCCAGGCACGCCATGTTCATCTGCCTCAACCCACATGCTGTCCTGGTAATAATATAATATTGCTAAACTAAGAGCTGATTTAGAAAAATGTCTTTATTGTTCTTTTCCTACTTTATAAATTAAAAAACATATTTCAATGTTTGTTCTTATATTGGTATCTAAACAATAAAAGACCTTATAGGTCTCATAATAACCTAAATACACAACATTTTTCATGTTTACAGAAAAATCAGCAATGGCGGACGCTAGTAGAAGATGCACAAAGAAGAAACATGTACAAAGTGCTTCCACACAAAATGTGTCAACCGATATCGGCAGCACAATTACCCAGTGACAACATATTGGAATATATTACTTATAAGAAACACAACAATCATTCTCACCGTTAGTTCTGTTCCAGCCCTTGTTACAGAACTAACTATAAGAGTGATTGTTGTATTTTAAAATGCTTAGTACGATATATCCTGCCTGTTAGGTGGCAGATACGACAAGAATGTCTGATGAACGCTTTTTAGCCATGTATTAGCTGAGTCAAACTAACGAAGCCTTCTTGAACAATGTATATTGCAATGATGGCGAGATACGCTTGAGAAAATCGCGCACTATTTTATTGAAAACCATCGACTTTTAAACGAACAATTTTGTATAGTGACTAGCATCTGTTGTTACCTGAATGTTAATTTATGATAAAGGAAGTGATAAGACTCGTTATGTGAGTAGTTGCAAATGCTACTATCGAGCAAGAGGTTTCGGCTTCGATCTGCAGGCCAGGCAAAAAAGGTTTGTATTATAGGTCTTTTTATTTTACTGTTATGAGCACGGGTTTCGGAATTGTGACTGGTGAATGGAAATAAACCATTAAACGTAACTATTCGAATTATGGGGAAAAAAGATTGAGTATATTGCCACCGCTGCCTTTCTCTTCTGGGGAACGCAAATGTGATATTATGATAACTTATAATTGATATTTGAATTTATCACGGAGGATTGTTCAACGCAATGACTAATAAAAAGCTTTTCTTTTATGTTGAAAAATCGTACTAGTTTTATACCAATTGGACTACGAAATATGTAATTCTGCACAGTGCGTAGTAGTTATGAAAGTAATTCTCTATTTATTTCCATACCTTCAAAAGTATATGAAGGTTTACTTATGAGAGTAAAGAGATGTTTTCATTCATAAATAACGTTTTATGAGAGCGTCATAAATATGTATAGTGAAATTGGAAATATAGTGTGAATATCCTTCAAGGACATGGATTTAAAAGCCACGGTAAAGTCAGGAAGTAGTCACAGTATTTTCCATTGATTTGTAAGACTGATTGATAAAAGGGCTGGCTGTTTGACGCCTTGTAAATATTGCTTGGATCTGAACTTAAAGTTGGCGGAGCTGTGTTTGATAAAAGATCATACATACTGTTATGATCAAGTCAGTAGGATAAGTATTTTGTATTAATAAGGTGTCACTAGTCATTCGTTCTAGCACCATCATTATCAAGGATTTTAAATAACACAATTTGTCGCTAAATATCAAAATTATCTATTACTAAGCTCAACCGTTTTGAGAAAAAAACATTAGATGCCATAGCTTTTTAAAATTTAAATGAAGTGGTGACTTCTTCAAATACCCCATCTTAAAACATTGTGCGATATTTGGCGACAATTTTTTTGTGTTATCAAAATCATGGATTGCAGTGCTGCCAAAATAAGTGACACAGTGATAAGCATTCATAATGTGTACTTTAATTTAATAGATATGCCAATATGGCGCATCCCTTAAGTTGAATATTTAAAGCGCTCTGCTGCTATGTATTGATTAATTAATGTCTTCATTCTTATGCATGTGTTAAATAATATGTTCCTGTTAATACTAAATATCAAATTCCGTAGCTGCTTTACATGAGTTTTCCTTAATCTTGCTTTCAAATAGCTGCTAATTAGAGCACCTGTATTAATTCAAATCTGTGATTAGGTACCTTTATGCGAATACAATAGAGGGCCCCAATAAATAAGTTATGTAACATTCCGCCTTCCCTCTTCTGATAAATGATAAGTAAATACCGAGTTTACTACGGGGTGTTTTAATAGCTCTCTCTCTGTCTCACTTTAGAAAATGAACTTTCTACAATATTTTGTAAACCCGCGGATGTTGTAAGATACAAGTCATAATTCTGTTTTATTGTTTTGTAAAATTGAGTTAGTTATTAGTTGATAAAACATTTTGTTTACCATTAATGTTGTCTAATATGAAAATTTGAATTCGATTTAATATTATCTGTTGTTGTTACTTTTTCGTTTTGATATTTTCGAGCCTGTACGTTCAATACCTATCGTCTCGCAGAATAACCAATGCAATTAAAATTTCAATAATTAGCATGTGATTAATGAGATATTCTCATGTACATAAAAAAATTACATAAGACTTAAGTATACAGACAAATAATTGTAACATTTACAAAGGTAATTAAATAATTTTATATTGTTATATCAAATAAAGAGTTTTACTTATGTACCTACAATTCAATATTCTCCCATTATGCTTGGGCCACACTAACGTGAAATGCCAATACCTAATTATCGCGATAATTGGTGATACAATACAATGAAAAATTTACCTTAAGTCATTTGCTTAGTGATCAAATTACACTTACGATTAACGTCCATTATTGCGATAAATAATGGCATTTCCCGTTAGTGTGGCCCAAGCATTAGAGCGAGTGTAATGGTAGTACTTACCGCCATAAGGGCCAGTTTAAATGCGTGAGTAGCCACTAAATAGTTAACTATACAGTTTGACTCGCTTCTCTCGCGCGGTTTCACCCGCTGCTCGGCTCCATTTAATCGTAGCGTGATGTTTTATAGCCTATAGCACTCGGGAACATTGTAGCTATCTATCAGTGAAAGAATTTTGGTAATCCGACCATCGGTTCCAAATATTACCCCCTACATACAAACTTACAAATTTTACCTCTTTATAATATTAGTATAGACTAGCTTTTGCCCGTGACTGACGTAATATTACATTTAAGTTAGTAAAAGTTTGTACTTAAGTATGTGAAAAAGAAAAGGGCTGTTTTTAAGGTTTTCCCGGCAATTATTAGATTTTTCTCAAGCCGTAAGAACTATGCTTGGACTTCAACGAACATCTTAAAAAAAGAATTAGCAAAATTGGCCCAGGCGTTGTTGAGTTATGCGCTTACCAACACATTTTGCGATCCATTTATATATATAAGAAGACTAGCTTCCGCCAGCGGCTTCGCCCGCTTGCTGTGTTGATAAAAAGCAATAGAACAAAATTGAAGTATACATAAAATTTGTTATTAATCGTCTCATTTTTATGGGTACATCTCCAATGGGTAAATACCCTATTACTTTCTACAGTGTTCACATGGGAACGGCGCAATCCGAACTGCTAAGGTACCTATCAGGAGTTCCACGTGCTATTGTGAGATAACCATAAACGATAGACATATACATAATTTCTATGTGACTTTAACTATTAAGGCTACATACGCGACTGAAATTTAAAAAAGGAGTGTGTTCTCCTGTTTTTCCAACATTTCCCTTCACTGCTCTGTTCCTATTAAGTATTTGTAGCGTGATGAAAAGTATCCTATAAACTGCCCAGGGGTGTAAAGAGTAATTGTACCAAGTTTAGTTAAAATCCGTGCAGTAGTTTTTGTTTCTACCTATAAGGAACACACAGACAGACAGACAAAAATTTTACTGTTTGCATTTTTGACATCAGTAAGTATCGATTACTTATCACCCCCTGGTAGTTATTTTGAAAATATATTTAATGTACTTACAGAATTTACCGATCTAAATATAGAGATAGAAGATACCTAATAGATGTCGGCAAACGAGCTGGTAGATAACCGACCGCCGACCGACCGATAAGTGCTTTGCCGACGTTTTGGGGATTAGGGATTACGATTTGGAGATTTTGGGATTAGAGAGGGGAAGGATTGGACCTCCGGTAACCGCACTTACACGGCGAAACACAACGCTGTGGTTGTTTCACGCCGGTTTCCTAAGAAGCCGTATTACTCTGACATATGCATAATTTCATTTTATTCAAATGATGTCATTTAATACGTTTATTTATTTGAGATAGTACTATAAAATAGGAGTATTATGCGTTTTACACGCTTGCATAGGTACTAATATTCTATTTTAAATAAGATGATTAGTCAATCGAGCCAAACATAATATACCATAAGGTTTACGACACGCCTGATTAAATATTTATTTCGGTTTAGGAATACATGTTTATCTATAGTCACAATATGTAAACCCGACCGACTCCAAGAAAAAAATGGTTTCGGAAGAAAAAGCGATACAGTTAGGTACATTCCATGTCGGGTGGCGCACTTCAGGAGCGGAGGAGCTATGAAGTCCATGACGCTAGCCGGTAATAATTAATAAACTAGCAACTGAAGCGCTATTTTATCCGCTGATCGGTGCCTGTTGAACGTAGCCTGCTGTTTGATGACCTTATAGTCTTCGTCAATACATGAGTGGATCATTCATATGTTTGAGTGATATTCAAGTACAAGCTTATAAGATTCGTATTCGACCTAAGGAAAGTTGCTCCCTTTCACTTTTCCAAATACATTGTTGCAAATCGACGCCATCAAGTTGCGTTGCGTAGGTACCTTTTCCATTTGAATAGGTGCCAACCATCAAATATCAATTTTATAAGAATCAGCCAAAGATTAAAATACGGCATAAAAAGCGCATCTTGAAAATCTACTGTACATAACATCAAAATCTGCTGATATTATAACGTCACATAAGATCAATAGACATATTGTATGCAATAAAATACATTGGATATGCCCGTTCTCCCGCTTCTGAATACGTTGTCCATGGGTAATAAGAGGTAGGTAAGTAAATAAAACAATTTTCTGTTATAACGTTTTTGTTTGTTCACTTAAAACTTGCGCCCATTGTCATATTAGTCAATTTCATAGATGTTAGATTTTTCACATAAGTCTGTCATATTTGCAACTCTCGATTTTTATTACTTATAATTTCCTCAAAAAAAGAAACAAATTCTTCACAACCACGATTTTTTTCTAAGAAAAGGATTCTGTATTTGCTTTCACAAACATCAAATGCTTTTAAGTTTTTTAGAATTATAATGATTTTGGAGTTATGTAAAATTTAAATATAAATGAGAAAAATAAGTCCTGTAGTGGGTGGAAATATATTATATTTTATTTTATAACTCTGCGTTTCACATCGATCACTAATAAAGAACTAGATACACAATCCCATACAAAAGTTCGCTTCAAAACTGTCGCCAACTGTATTTAGGTACTTATACTTGAAATAAACATGCATTAATGTAAATTAAACCTTAAATGCAACTCATAGAGTTGTTTTTACAAAGTGATGTACAAAATCTTAATACTTTTTGCGACCGAAGCTCTTGACAAACATAAATCATAAGAAATTGAACCATATTCGCATGATTTTAAGTCGAATTTACAAAGTGTCAAAATAAGCAATAAAATTTAACGACTTCGGCTCACCGCTAGGACAAAGAATGATTGAAGTCGAAATGTCTCGTAAGAAATATATTTCTTTCGTATTTTATAATTTATCAAAAAAAGAAAATACGCAAATTAAAACGCATTACTTATAGTATTCTTTTCTATAGGTTTGTTCATTTATTTACCAATGAAACTAATGCATATAGTTATAATTCTTTTTTATTATTTTCGTCCTCCTTAATCCTTTCTATTCGAAGTCAAATAAAAAAGATGTAAAATAATAAAAAGAATATATATCTAAAGTGTTGGCGTTATTGTTGTCAATTTTTCATATCGCACGGGTCTTGATGAAAGCTAAAAAAAAAAATTCTTTACTGCAGTTACAATTAAATCCATTACATCTGCCTATTCCATATTTTAATAAACACAGTAAAGAAGTATAATATTAAATAAAAACTATTTTTTTATAAAAAAAACAATAAATAAAGTTAGAAACAATAGCGTCTCCACTAAACGGAACAGAATCAATCCACGTAAACCGAACAACTTAAGTGGTCATGCTAGAGAATGATTTTAAGTTTAGTATATGTGTCTTTATAAACTGTGTGCATTATAACCCCAGTTTTTGAATACGATTTCATTTGAAAAAAGTTTTAAAGTTGATTTCTTAATAAAATATCAATATTTAAAATAGAATGATGACAATTATATAATGATAATATTATTACTTAACGAAAATATGAAATTCCATCCTTTTTTGCATCTTAGATGTGTGTTTTTTGCAGTTTTTTAACGAGCACTGAGGCGTCTTTACCGTCGGAGCATTCGAGTGGTACTAAACTAAAACTACACCGCGATGTTGAGTTTGGTGGACTTTCAGTTAGGACATTTTTTTGTCACTGATTGTGTATCTAGTTCTTTATTAGTGATCGATGGCGTTTCAGGATAATGTTTCAAGTTACCCCAGTTTTGTTGTCCTTGTACTTAACCCTTAATCAACCATCAAACATCATTCACAATACGTATTTCAGAATTTTTACAAGAAATTGCAATAATGTCATATAATTGTTAC